TTCCTTACTCTCCCATTTTGCTTATAGTATCAGCCTTTATATCTAAATGATGAACACATTTTGACTTTATTTTGGTATATGGTGCGAGATTTGGGTCTATGCCTAGTTTCTGCCATCCTTTTTCCAGTTTTCCCAGCAGCTTTTGTCAAATATCGGGTTCTTATCCCAGAGCTGGGGTCTTTGGGTTTATCAAGTAATAGATTACTATAGTCATTGACTACTGTGTCTTGCATATTTAACCTATTCCACTGATCCACCACTCTATTTCTTAGCCAGTTCCAAGCGGTTTTGATGATTCCTGCTTTATGATACAATTTAAGATCTGGAACAGCTAGGTCACCTTCCCCTGCATTTCTTTTCATTAGTTCCCTTGATATTCTGGACCTTTTGTTCTTCCAAAAAGTCTTGTTATTATTTTTTCTAACTCTATAAAGTAATTTTTGGTAGTTTGATTGGTATGGCACTGAATAAGTAAATTATCTTAGGTAGGATTGTCATTTTAATTATATTAGCTCAGCCTACCCATGAGCAACTGATATTTTTCCAATTACTTAGACCTGACTTTATTTGTGTGAAAAGTGTTTTGTAATTGTGTTCATATAGTTCTTGGGTTCAGATTTCTTTTGAGCTAGTGTAATTCTGCTTTGCCTATAGAGCACAGTACCTTCTTTGATGTGGGCTGTCCTTTACCAGTGTTTCCCATGTCACACAATCAATTCCAAAGTTCTTCTGAGAGACCTTGGGAGTGTCCTTGTATCACTTCTTTTGACCACCATGTGAGTGCTTACCTCGTGTGAGATCTCCATAAAATATTCTTGGGGGCAGCTAGGTGGTGCAGTGGATGGAGCCCCAGCCCTAGAGTCAGGATGCTTACTAGCTATGTGACCCTGGGCAAGTCACTTAGCCCTATTGCCTAACCAAAAACAAAAACAAAAATATGAAATAGTCTTAGGCAAACATACATTTAGCATGCAAACAACGTGGCCAGCCCATCAGAGCTGTGCTCTCTACAGTAGAGTTTGAATGCTTGGCAGTTTCGCATGAGAAAGAACCCGAGTGTCCAGTACCTATCTTGCCAGGCAATCTTCAGAATCTTCCTAAGACATGGAAGCGATTCAGTTTCCTGGCATGGCGCTGGTAGACTGTCCAGGTTTCACAGGCATACAACAATGAGGTCAGCACAGTGGCTCTGTAGACTTTCGGTGTGGTAGGCAGTCTAACACCTCTTTCTCTCCCACACTTTCCTTCAGAGCCTCCCCAACACTAAGCTAGCTCTGGCAATGTGTGCATCAGCGTCATCACCTATGTGTACCTCCCTGTACAGTATACTGCCAAGATAAATGGAACTTATCCACAGCATTCCGTATTTCTCCATTTGCTGTAATCAGTGGTTCCTGTGTTTTCTTGTTCCTGTGTTATTAGGCCAAAATTAGCACAAGCAGCCGAGAATCGATCCCTACTCTGTTGCCTCTCAGCCTCAGAGGCTGCATTGAGTGCACAATCATCTGCAAACAAAACGTCACACGCCAACTCTCCCTCCACTTTAGTCTTGGCTTGTAGCCTTTTCAAGTCAAATCATTTACCATCAGTGTGATGGCTGACCTTGATGCCATTTTCGTCCTCGTTGAAGGTGTCCCACAACATCACAAGCCTCGTTTCCTCCATTGGCGACTGGGAAAATGCGAAAACATCATCCGTTGTCCAGAGCCTAGGCAAGCGTGCCACTGTGGAACTGGCATACAATACTGATGAACTTCTCCAGGCAACCACATTTTGCCATGATCTTCCACAAGCTCTCATGACCGACAGTTTCAAAGTCCTTGGTCAGACTGATGAACGTTGTATACAGACCTCTGTTCTGTTCCTGGCATTTCTCCCGGAGTTGTCCGGAAGCAAACACCATACAGACCATTTCTTGGCCCTTTCTGAAGCCTCTCAGGTAGATGACCATCTTCCAGAGGAAGGATCAGCCTATTAAGGAGGACTCTGGTAAGAATTTTGCCAGCAATGATTGAGAGAGACCTTCACTGTAATTGTCACAGGACAATCTAGTTTACTTTTATAGAGATGGACAGTGGAAGCATCCTTGAACTCTTGGGGGATAATGTCCTCTTGCCATATAACCTGGAAAATTTCAGCTTTTGTATGAGCAATAGATAACCCCCCCACACCCCATGTAAATCTCAGCTGGAATAGAATCAGCACCAGGCACTTTGCCACATGAGAGGGACCTGATGGCATTCAAAACCTCTTCTTCAATTAGAAATTTGGCTAGAGAGGGATTGACTTCGACCTGAGGTAACTGGTCAGTGGCTTCAGCACTGATTGATGATGGTCTGTTGAAAACACTATGGAAGCGTCCAGCCCATCTCTCCAGGATCACATTCTTATTACTAATCAACGTGGCTCCATCAGCACCAAGTAGTTGAGATGCACCAAAGGTCTTTGGCCTTCACGGCATCATAAAAGTGCATTGAATTGTTACCATCAGCATAAAACTGAATTTCATCTGCCTCGTCACTGAGCCAAGAATCCCATATCTGTCTAAGCTTCACTTGCACTTTACTGTTGATGGAGTTAAATGCTGCCTTCTTAGAGATGGATGAACTATCCTGCTGGTGAAGCCTTGCTTTTCATTTAGTGGCTTCTGAATTTCCCCATCATTTCTGTGAAACCAAGCTTGATATTTGTGAATGTTCTGGCCCAGATGAGTAAATGCAGTGCTGTCCACCAAATCTCCACTTACATGCAAAGACAAGGAAGCCGGTGTAGACAAATCAGCTGGCAAGGTTGGAAGAGGCTAGACTGTGAAGAGCTTTAAATGCCAAGCGTAAGGCCTTATGTTTGACCTTGGAAGTAATAAAGAGCCACTGGAATTTATTGAATAAAGGAATGGTATGATGAGACGTATGCTTTAGAAAAATCTACCTTGAGTGGAGAATGGATTGGGGTGGGGAAAGGCACGAGTCAGAGAGAAGCAATTCTGCAGTAGGGGTGATGAGGATTAGTGCAGGTGGGCTCAGCGGTCACCTCGGTGCAGATTATTTGGAAATTCACATGTCCAAGGAGGTGACGCCGTGGATAGAGGCCTGGAATCAGGAAGATCTGAGTCCACAATCAGTCTCAGACACTTCTTGACCCTGGGAGAATCACTTAACCTCTGTTGATGACAGTTTCCTTCACTGTAAAATGAGGATAATAATAGCTCCTAGTCCCAGGGTTGTTGGGAGGAGCAAGTGAGCTAATATTTGTAAAATGCTTAGCAGTGTCTGACACACAGTAGGTGCTTAATAAATGCTTCTTTCCTGCCTTCCTTGACTCTTCTTCTGAGCTTTCTCTATAGCACCAAGTCCCAAGAAACCTCTCCACCTGGATTTCTCAGAGGCATCTCAAACTCGACCAATACAAATCAGAACTTGTAATCTTTTCCCTGAGAACCCCCCACTCTTCCCACCTTTCCTGTTTCTGTTGTGGACACCTCCACCCTTCCAGGCAGCGCCTCAGGTTCCCAACTTCAGAACCGTCTTCAGCTCCTCACCCTCACTCACCCCCCCACCCCCATATGCCACCAGGTGCTGTCTTGTTTCTGTCTCCAACATCTCTTAAATCCAGTCCTTTCTCTCCACTCCCATCATGGTCTCCACCCACTTTGGTCTCTTAACACCTCTCACACAGACTGCTGAAATAACCTTCTCAAGAGACTTCCATGGCTCCCGATTGCCAGCACCTCTGGAGCTGAAAGCCTCTCACAGTCTGGTCCCAACCTATCTCGCCAAATTCGGAGCTTGCCCTCCTCTCTCCCTGCCACGCTCTCTGCTCCAGCCAAACTGGGCTCCTTGCTGCCTCGCATTCATGGCTTTCTGTGTCTCTGCCCCCTTTATATACCTGCTCAGCTCCAGCGAGGTGACCCCAAAGTCAGTTGGAGAAGGAAAGGCTAATCGCTGCAGCATCTTTGCCAAGAAAACCTCCTGGACAGTGTGGTCCACAGGGTCACAGAGAGTCGCAACAAGGTCAGAAGATTTTCCCTTCCTTACAAAGAAGCAGCCCTTCAATCACAAAAGGCCAGAAACAGGCTCAGAGCAGGGGAGTTAGGTGGGGCAGTGGGTGGAGCACCAGCCCTGGAGTCAGGAGGACCTGAGTTCAAATGTGGCCTCAGGCACTTATTATCTGCGTGAAGGTGGTCAAGTCATTTAACCTTGATAGCCTCAGAAAGAAAGAAAAGGAAAGGAAAACGGCTAGGACCAGACTTCAGGGTAGTTACTTGGACTAGACCCAGGCAAGGAACATCTGAACTCACTCCAAGGACTGGCCCCTGTGCCCACAGGCCAGTCCTGCCCAGGTTACACTACCCTTTGGACTTGCCATTTTCTCTGTGGGGGCAGGGACTTTCACTTTTGTTATTGTCCAACTAGTACTGAGCACATAGTAGACACTCAAAAAAGAATGCTTGTGAAATTGAATCATAGAATTGACTTAAGTTTTCCAGCTCTGACCTTCTACGGTTCTGTGACTCCCAGGAAATCACCGAGTGACCCTAAATAAGTAAATTCCATGGCCTTATCTGCAAAATGAAGGGGCTGAATTAGATCAGGAGTTCTTAACCCAGGACCACGGATAGATTTCAGGATGGGAAAAAAAGCATCTTTATTTTCACCAACCTTGGGGGGGGGGGGAGGAAATCCAATGTATTTTATTTGATGCATTTAAAACCATATCCTGAGATGAGCTTCACTGGACCTCCCAAAAAGATCAAGAACCCTGAACTAGGCGATCTTTAACATCCTGTCCGGCTTGAGAATTGTGTTTCTTTATCCTCATAAAAGACAATGGGAGCGGTGAAAACTATTGAAGTAGGCACCCAGGTTGGCAGAAGGGAAGGAGGAGCTGGAAAAGCCTCCCTGCTAATCCGGGCACGAAACCATAAGGGTGGGACTTAAGGGCGGTCACACCAACCAGAGCTAGGGAGGGATGGATTCCCCTGGGGACTAACCGGGCTCCAGAGCTGCCTCATCTATTCCCCTCACTTTCCTCCCCTGCTTGTCTGTCTGTCCTCTTCCGCAGGACACGAGGGCAGTCAAGGGTACCCCAGAAAGAGTCCTCCATAGAATAATATCCTTGGCTCTAAGCCCAGGGAGAAGGCCACGGGAAATTTCCCTATTTTAATCGCGCCCAAATGCGTACCTCCGCCACCCCACCCCCACCCCCGGTTTCGCTGGGAGTGTCATGGAAAGAAACTGATGAGAGCGTCAAAAAATCTGGTCTAGCCTGCCTCGGTCTGAACCTCGGTATCCTTATCAGTAAAAGCGGAAAGGAGGAAAATGCATAAATCATCTCTCAGGATGCTTCCATAGGATCTCTTCTCATTGCCTGACCCGAGGTCTTAGAGGCGGATTTCGCGTTTCCAGACACCTTCTTCACAAAGGATTTTCTGATCTCCCCCTGCCAGTGAGTTGCCGGGACCTGAAGCAGTCATTAGCAAAGCTTGAGGAGGCGGAGGCTAGCGTCTCTGCCCCGGGGGACCAGCTCCGGCCAGCGGGGCCAGATGACGATCATGTGACATGTAGGCAACCTGGCTGGACCCTAGGAGGGGCCCATTCCTGCCCGGGCTCCTCCCTCTACTCTGGCTTCCCGCGGGCCCCCAGCCCCATCCGGGCCTGCGGGAACCAGCTTGTTTTATCTAAGGAAGTTCCAGGCAGGAACACCCAGCTCCCCTGCCCTGCTGTCCACTGGGCACAACTCTCCCATTGCCCTAGCTGGCTACAGAACGCAGGGCACCCCGTCTGCAGCCAGGAAGCTGCTCCCCCAGCCGGGGGGCTCCAGGAAGCCGAGGGCCAAGGTCTGTGTCACCCTGGGGAAAACAAGTTTGGTTCCTGGTCAGGCCCTGGGAGGGCCCACGGCTTGGGATCCCCTCTTCCTTCTCCTTCCCTCCCCTCCTGTCCTCCGCCCTGGCCAGGGCTGAGCCAAAAGCACAACAAAGCGCCCTTCCTTTCTTCCTCCCTATGTCCCGCTTCCCCAACCTCCCGCAAGACTAGGGCTTTCCAAGGGGTGGGTGGGGTGGAGGAAAAGCTGGGAGCTCAATGCAATTTAACTCACAAACATTTATTCAACACCTGCCGTATGCCAAATCACTCTGGTAGGCGTTGGGGATACAGACATTTGACCTACCAAACATCATTCATTCACCACCTACTGTGTGCCAGTCACTGTGTTAAGCACTGGGGATGCAAAAACACACACGGCAATCGACGAGCAAGTATTTCGTAAGCACCCACTGTGTGCTTGGCGTTTGATGTGTTAAACCCCAGGAAGACAAAAGCAGAAGCTAAGCTTGTTCGCTGACCCTTTGGCTTCTCCTTCCTCTCAACCTTTTCCCTGTCTTTTTGCTGACTTAGCCTAGACCCATCCGAGGGGTGGAGAGGTTAATCAGTGACAGAGGACAGCGATCGCCTGGGCTCTGCGCTGGGGTAGCCTGAACCCTTCTTCCAGACGGCTCCTGCATGGCCAACCCTTAGGCATCTGGACCATGGAATCCTCGGTGAAGTTGCTGGTCTTCCTGTCCTGCCTGGGAGTGACTGCCCCGCTCTGCCGTGAGTCCCCACTCTTCTGCCCACAGCACCCCGGGCGCCCGAGCCAGAAGGATCCCTAAGAGATCTTGGCAGCGTCGCGCTGGGGCTCTATCCCCAGCATCCCAGACCAACTCGTCCCACTGTTTGCATTTTACTGCTGAGGAGATTGTGTCCCAGAAAGGTCTGGCCAAGGTCACAGGCTGGAGAGGGGCTGGACCCAGATCTCCTGAAGTGACACCCCCACCCCGAGGGCCACACTAGGGAGCAGAGACCAGGGGCCTCTCTGGAATCAACCAGTCAGCAAGTGTGTATGGGAAGCCAGGCACTGTGTGAGGCCCTGGGGCTGCAGACACCAAATCAAGATAGTTCCTGCCCTCAAGGAGCCTACATTCTGGGAGGGGGAGACTATGTGTACTGGATTCAAAATAAATTCAAGGTAACAAGAGGAATATTGCACAGGTAGGAGCCTCAGGAAAGACCCTGGAGCTGAGCAGCGAGGGAGACTAGGGATTCTGAGAGGCAAAGAAGAGGGAGGGCATGCCAGGTAGAAGGCGCAGCCTGTGCAAAGGTTCAGAGGCAGGAGATGGAATCTGGAGTGTGCCTGTCAGCAAGAAGGGCCAGTCTGGTTGTGCAGAAGACTTCATGAAGGCAAATAGTTGCAGCCAGGCTGCAAAGAGCTTTGAAAGCCTACCAAATGAATTTGCATTTGGTCCTGGAGGCAATAGAGAGCCACAAAGTTTATTGAGCAAGGTAGTGACACTATCAGTCTCCTTTGGAAATAATATTTTAGGAGCCGTGTGGAGGACGGATTGGTGTGAGTGACCGCTCTGTCTTCTGAGCCAGGTTGAAAACTACTGCTGATCCTTAGCACGAAATCGACTCACTCCCGCCTCCCAGTCACCAGAGCCCATCACAGAGCACCTGGAGTCTCCCG